GGTAGTCTGTTGTTGGGTAATGTTCTAAAGTGTGAAGTAGGAGTGTGTTTGGTTATAGATGTTTTTATTGCTGAGTGCAGTCTGTCCATTTCTGAGTCTATATCTTCTGTTGTTTTTCCTTGTAGGTTAATCGAGTGGTGATTACTTAAGTCGTCTTTGAAGCTGTCCCAGTCTGTTTTACTCATTTTCAGTCTCTTTTTTATTGGTATCTGTATGGGGCTTGTTGAGAGTGTTAGTATAATTGGCAGATGGTCACTGCCTGTAAGAGGTCCTGTATTATATGGTAATTGAAAAAGGCTTTGTTGTTGGTAAAAATTTTGTCTGGTGTCGATTGTGTATTGTGATTTCTCCAGGTTGGAAAGTTAGGACCCAGATGATTGATTTTCCCTAAATTTATTAATTGATTAAGGGCGTTTCCCACGACGTTATTATTTGTATTGTCAAAAATCCTATGTCTGGCGTTAAAGTCTCCTAAGATGTACATCGGATGACTATTGTTAGCCAATTTTAATAGGTCTTCTATAGGTAAGTAGGGTCGTCTCGGTGGGAGATAAGTAGTAGCAATAATTACGTCTCCTTGAGTTGTATTTATTTTTATTGCTAGAAATTCATCCTGGAAGTCATCAATTAGTTTAAATTTTAAGTTTCTTTTAACCGCTATCGCTACTCCGTCATTTTTCTCGCCCGATTTATTTCTTTGGTTTACATAATAGTTAAAGAGTTTTATGTTGTTGTTTTCTGTCTCACCGTGACTGTTTATTAGTATAATGTCAGGGTCAATTTCTTGATATATATTACTTAGGTTAATTCTCTCGGTCTTCCAGTTTCTTACGTTGTGTTGTATTATTCTTAAAGTTCTTACTGTTTGTCTATTGTCCATTATTTCTTATACTTGGATTGTGACTGTTGAAGTGGAGACCTATCATCCTGTTTCCCGCTTCTGACTCTTCTAAACTCTGACGGGTCTACTATTTTAAAGTCTTTGGTCGTAATCTTTAGTTTGTCCGTAGTAATTAGTGACCAGACATAATCTTCACTTAGGGATTTTTCTTGATATGTCCACTTGTATATCCTTCCTTCACAGTTTTTTACTATTGTCCCTCCTGTTGGTCTCGATGTTGGGATTCCATGTTTTGTTGTAGTGATAACTTTTAATCCACTTTCTTCAGCAGATTCAGGTTGTATATTGTGATCAGTTTCCATCTTATCTTCTCTCCTCCTACTCCTTTGTCTTATAGTCTGTCCTTTTGTTATTTCTATCTTCTCTTTGTCACTTCTAGTCATTTGTCTGGGATCTCTATCAGTCGCTTGTGTTCCTTGTGTATCAGCTGTTGCTCCTTGCTCAAACCTTTGTTCGTCTAGATGTAGTCTTTCTCTCAGTTCGCTTGCATATGTTGCCTGAAATAGTTTTTCGGATTGTGGATTCTCTGGAAATATCATCTCTGGTAGGCTATTCAATTTAAACATTTTCCTTAATTCCTCATTGTATGATCCGGGTGCAATGATATTGTGCAAATGTGCATGGATCATACTAATCATTACCTTATCATGTATTGGCTCACTCAGGTTTAATATGGTGGATTCTGGTCTATGAGCCTCTTGGACCGCTCTCTTGGCTATTTCGTACTGTATGTCGTATCCTTCTTGTCTTGTTCCTTTTTCCTTGTTTCTTGTTCCTTGTACTTTATCATGTGTTTTTTTATTGGGCATGCCATTGCTAACGTCCTGTGTCCTATGTATGCATTCCCGTTTCTCTTACAGTTGAGACAGCCAACATGTGTATTCTTACATTCAGTGTAGGTATGGTCGTCGCCTGCACAATCTGAGCAGTACTTTTTTTCTTTTTCCGGACAGTCTCTCGTTGTGTGTTCTTCATATTTGTAGCAGGAGAAGCAAGTTTGCAGACTGATGAATGTCTCCTTCTTTATTTGATGTGGTGTGACTGACATGTTGAATATTAGAAAGCCCTGTTGTAAAACTTTCTCAGCCATTGACACTTCTTCAAAAGTAATCTTAAAAACATGAGTATAGTCTTTTATCTTAATGACTTCTTCAATCTTCATCCACCTGTTTTGTCGTTCCAGTTCATCTTTCAGGTCTTCCGATGTCTTCCTCCCGATCTCTTGGTCGACTTGACGAACGAAAACTGATCTTTTTGCTTTTTGTTCTGGTGGCATGACAACAATAAGGCCTTCATTGTAAAATATATCTCTTGCTTCTTTTGAAAGGATTTTATCTGAATCAAAGTCATCTTTACAGATTACTTTAAAACCTTCATTGGTGCTGAATATTCTTGTTAGTGGGACTTGCAGTTTGTTGTAAGTGATTTCTGCCACTTTTCCCCTTCCAATAGAGTGTCCCTTATCTCTATGTTTTATTCTAATGCTTGTTGTCATCTTCTTGATTACATCTAATCCTACCTATAACACAGGGCTCCTGCCTGGGAGCAGTGACCCCGCCCCCCCCTCTTGGACGGGCGTCGGGCTCGTAGGGTTCTGCACCCAGGTTACCTGTGACTATAGTTATGTCTAAGAAAGTTGCCACCTACCGGTGACCCCCGGACAAGGGGTGCCCTGCACTATCACAGGTTCCCTTGCCGGATCGACCGTATCGCTAAGTCCCGCCTCCCGTTCAAAGAACGGAGTGCATGAGGGGGATGAAAAAAGGAAAGAAGAGGACTTAGAGAGTAGAAACAGCCTACCTACCACGCCACGTTCGGTTAGCCAATCAGAGCACCGCAGTAAACGTGCATGTATCACGCCACCGTGGGGCACCACTGATTGGCCAATCCAGGACGTAGACGCACGGGTAGTAGTCAAAATTTGGGGAGCCCAAATATTTGTTTTCCAGAAGTTGGAATTTCCCGTACAATCTGTGATGGTAATTACACCGTCACTATGTTGAGTAAGTACAATCACTAGGATTGAGTGTCCTATCACAACAAAGTTGCAGACTGCTCAAACATGCAGCAAAAGAGGCAGGTCTTCGCAGCTCCGGGTCCAGCAGTCGAGAGCGATCACCACGAGGTCAGGTCTTAAATAGCGGGGGTAGGCGTGGCTTAGTAGTTGACCCCCGCTCCGTGGTGTATGGCGGCGCTGGTTGACCTAGACCACGAGGCATACACTGGGGAATTGGTGGGGTCGGCTAGGCAGCGACAAACAGCGTTTGTAAGGGAGAATTCCACTACAATACTTATCTATAGTTATTTTGGCATCAATCTTGGCATAAATTAATGCTGTACTGTATAATAGGTAAATAATTATTGTACTTCTAGGAAAATTCCACAACAATAATGATGATAGTTCAAGTTAGTGATCAAATATTACAGGTCATACCTACTGCCGTGAGTATTGTCCAGTGAATTGTTCTTATAATGGACTTGTTCCACATTAATAAAGGTTCATATAGGTGGATAGTGGAGTGTTGACCCACGTCAGGTTAAGCTTGTCACCAGGGAGGGTCGCTAAAATATCTTCAGTGGTCCCTCCATTAACCGACACAATATGTTCCACGGAGTCGTTCGTTTACTGAATCTATATACTGTAGTGTTATATATTAATAAAATATTGATAAATAAACTTAAAATAGTTCAACACAAAATGGTATTTTTTTAATTTATTTTAGTAAAATTGTAAATGTTCTCAAGCTATTCGGTTCTCCAGCCACTGACTTAAGTTAAGTTTAATATTAATATATATCTATTAGCGGGAATTTAATCAATAATAAAACATTATAATGAAAGTATAATTTATTTATAATATGTAATATTTATTAATAAAATACTTTTATTATAGTGTTAATAATGAAAACTTGTAGCTACTGAAAGATAAGAGAGAGAATCGGACAAGGTGTAGCAGGTCAACATCAACCAAGGTGGCCGTCTTGTTATTGTTGTTAATTTTGTGAGTAAATGTTAATTTGTGGGCCTTCCTCCCTCCCTTGTGGTAAACGTAATAAATGTTTTATGTTATGTCGTTGATATAAACAGACATTAGAATGTTTGAGTTAAAGGTTGGTTATCCGAGATGGTCCGAGTTGGTATTTGATGGGCCGAGTTGGAGGCACATCGGTTACACTATGATAACCCATTATAGTACATCCTTCTTTACTCACACAGCCAAACTGTGTTTGTGTGGATGTGGGTCACACTATCATAACCCATTATAGTACATCCTTCTTTACTCACACAGCCAAACTGTGTCTGTGTGGATGTGGGTCACACTATAATAACCCATTATAGTACATCCTTCTTTACTCACACAGCCAAACTGTGTCTGTGTGGATGTGGGTCACACTATAATAACCCATTATAGTACATCCTTCTTTACTCACACAGCCAAACTGTGTCTGTGTGGATGTGGGTCACACTATAATAACCCGTTATAGTACATCCTTCTTTACTCACACAGCCAAACTGTGTCTGTGTGGATGTGGGTCACACTATAATAACCCATTATAGTACATCCTTCTTTACTCACACAGCCAAACTGTGTCTGTGTGGATGTGGGTCACACTATAATAACCCGTTATAGTACATCCTTCTTTACTCACACAGCCAAACTGTGTCTGTGTGGATGTGGGTCACACTATAATAACCCATTATAGTACATCCTTCTTTACTCACACAGCCAAACTGTGTCTGTGTGGATGTGGGTCACACTATAATAACCCATTATAGTACATCCTTCTTTACTCACACAGCCAAACTGTGTCTGTGTGGATGTGGGTCACACTATAATAACCCATTATAGTACATCCTTCTTTCCTCACACTGTTGAATGCTCTGCTTTCTTCTGTGTTTCCATAGTCATACAATCTGTCTCACTTCAAAAAGCTGGTTTTCCGGCATCTTCGCGGTGTACATTAATATAACCTTTTATTTCAAATTTTTATTTTATTTTTACTCTTATTTTACACAAATTGATTTAGTCACTTGTAGTTTTCATTTATAAATTGTACTTTTATAAGAATATTATCTAAGGCAAAAAAATTTCTTTCAGATATTGTGATGTCACATCTCAAGACCAAGTGTAACTAAGTAGAAGTTCGCAATGTCAAGCAGAGATAAAAAGTTCTCCTGTGAGGAATGTGGCAAACAGTTTGGCTTCAAGTCTACTCTTCAGAGACATTTACTTGTACACAATGGTGTGAAGGAGTTTGAATGTGAGGAATGTGGGAAATGTTTCTCCCAGAAGAGTAATCTCAAGACACACATTCTTGTACACAATGGTGAGAAGGAGTTTGAATGTGAGGAATGTTTCTCCCATAAGAGTACTCTCAAGACACACATTCTTGTACACAATGGTGTGATGAAGTTTGAATGTGAGGAATGTGGGAAATGTTTCTCCCGGAAGGGTAATCTCAAGACACACATTCTTGGACACAGTAGTATAAAGGAGTTTGAATGTGAGGAATGTGGGAAATGTTTCTCCCATAAGAGTACTCTCAAGACACACATTCTTGTACACAATGGTGTGAAGAAGTTTGAATGTGAGGAATGTGGGAAATGTTTCTCCCGGAAGAGTAATCTCAAGACGCACATTCTTGAACACAATGGTGTGAAGGAGATTGAATGTGAGGAATGTGAGAAATGTTTCTCCCATAAGAGTGCTCTCAAGACACACATTCTTGTACACAATGGTGTGAAGGAGTTTGAATGTGAGGAATGTGGGAAATGTTTCTCCCAGAAGAATACTCTCAAGACACACATTCTTGTACACAATGGTGTGAAGGAGTTTGAATGTGAGGAATGTGGGAAATGTTTCTCCCATAAGAATACTCTCAAGACACACATTCTTGTACACAATGGTGTAAAGGAGTTTGAATGTGACGAATGTGAGAAATGTTTCTCCCATAAGAGTACTCTCAAGACACACATTCTTATACACAATGGTGTGAAGGAATTTGAATGTGAGGAATGTGGGAAATGTTTCTCCCAGAAGAGTAATCTCAAGAGACACATTCTTGAACACAATGGTGTGAAGAAATTTGAATGTGAGGAATGTGGGAAATGTTTCTCCCGGAAGAGTACTCTAAAGACACACATTCTTGGACACAGTGGTATAAAGGAGTTTGAATGTGAGGAATGTGGGAAATGTTTCTCCCAGAAAAGTACTCTCAAGACACACATTCTTGAACACAATGGTGTGAAGGAATTTGAATGTGATGAATGTGGGAAATGTTTCACCCAGAAGAGTACTCTCAAGATACACATTCTTGGACACAGTGGTATAAAGAAGTTTGAATGTGAGGAATGTGGGAAACATTTTGCACTAAAGGGTAATCTCAAGAAACACATTCTTGTACTACACAATGGTATAAAGGAGTTTGAATGTGAGGAATGTGGGAAATGTGGGAAATGTTTCTCCCGCAGCGGTCGTCTCAAACGTCATAAACTTGTGCATGAAAAAAACAGAATTCAATAAATTTTTGAATGACTTTAACAGAAGGTAAATGTGACACACAAACTTGAATACAGTGATATACATCAATATAAAACCACTTGAACAAACTCTATGAATGTAGCAGAAATAAAGACAAGTGACAAATGCCACTTTTATAGATATTAAACACAAGTTATCTGCTCTTAAGATGTAAATTACTTCTACCATGGCCTTAGTGTAGACCTTTGGTGTTGGTTAAATATCACTCATAGTAATACTCCATTTTGTTTCATCAGCCTTTTTAATAATGTTATTTACAGTACAGTAGTGAACAAAGGTTAAACTTATCATCTATGGGCTTAAAATTTCACCTTTACTGGATAAGTTGTGTTGAATTGAGATGAACTCTCCTTTACTATAATTTGTGCATCAATAGTTGTGTCAACTGTGTACGTCTGTCTTTATTTACACGCGACGTAATTTTTATCACAAGTACGTACATTAACGCAGGTAGTAAATCATCTTGGTAAAGTAGTACAGTGGTGGTAGACCATTTGTTATAGTCAAGGTGTTGTCATTATCTCACGGAACTCTTCAATCTCTGTTGAAATTGTACGTAAATATTTGATAAGTTTTGCTCAACTCTTACGAGATATTTTGATATTTTATCTTGACTAAAATGGTTGGTAGTTTTGATTCATGTTTTAAATATATTCTTTCATCACTTACAGATATATGGTACCATTGTCTGGTAAATAATGGTTAGGGTTCATATAACAGTAGCTGGTGTTATGGGGCAGATGAACTTTAACACCTCTTAACTGTATATAATATCGTGTTTAATATATTGTTCAGTTAGCAGCTTGTGCCTTAGTTAGGTAACTCTTCTTGGTTATATAACAATTCATCCTTGGGCAGTCATTTGCTTAAAGTAGCCAATGCTGAAATGCCATACTCTGGGTTAAAATTTGTTTTTTGATCATGTTAAGTAGAAGACTTGGTTAAATTACCATACAGTATTTAGATATTTGCTGTTCTTATATACAACTTTTCCTAATAGTACTGGCATGTGTTTATCTAACAATGGTATTTAAAAAAATGGTTGCTACAAGAATGGCATTAATTTTGTGGACATGAATATAGAGTTTTATGTAAATACTGTGTACTGCATACATTAGTACAGGTCCCTATAATCTTTTGTGACTCTTATTACCGCTGCATAACGTTCACACTCACCGCACTAAGGGAGTATCTAAGTTTTCTATTGGGTAGTGTCACAGTAAACACTCTGAAGGGGTAATTTGTATGTTGTATTATACCAGTGTCTGTGTATATAATGTTAAGTGTGTGTACTAATAGTATTAAGGGAGGACTCAAGGTACTGTTGTATGTTGTATTATACCAGTGTCTGTGTATATAATGTTAAGTGTGTGTACTGATAGTATTAAGGGAGGACTCAAGGTACTGTTGTATGTTGTATTATACCAGTGTCTGTGTATATAATGTTAAGTGTGTGTACTGATAGTATTAAGGGAGAACTCAAGGTACTGTTGTATGTTGTATTATACTGTACCAGTGTCTGTGTATATAATGTTAAGTGTGTAATGATAGTATTAAGGTCAGTTATTTTGTATGGAGAAGAAGAGACCTTCATTTGTGGGAGAAGGTCAGTTATGTTTGTGTGGTGCTGTGACCTTAATTGCTTGGGGAAGGTCAACTATTTTTGTATTGTCACAGAGTGCAGTATTTTTATTATGTCTAAAATAATTAGTTATAACTACTGGTTGGTGTTTCACCCTTCCTTCCACCCTCAACTTTGATTTATGAAAAACACAAACTCACACTACTAGACTAAACTCACACTGCTAGGCTAAACTCACACTGCTAGATTAAACTCTCACTGCTAGACTAAACTTACTCTGCTAGACTAAACTCACACTGCTAGACTAAACTCACACTGCTAGATTAAACTCGCACTGCTAGACTAAACTCACACTGCTAGACTAAACTCACACTGCTAGACTAAACTCTCACTGCTTCAGTAGACTAAATTCACACTGCAAGACTAAACTCACTCTGCTAGACTAAAATCACACTACTAGACTAAACTCACACTGCTAGACTAAACTCACACTGCTAGACTTAACTCACACTGCTAGACTAAACTTAAACTACTAGACTAAACTCACACTGCTAGACTAAACTCACACTGCTAGACTTAACTCACACTGCTAGACTAAACTTAAACTACTAGACTAAACTCACACTGCTAGACTAAACTCACACTGCTAGACTAAACTCATACAGCTAGACTAAACTCACACTGCTTCAGTAGACTAAACTCACACTGCTTCAGTAGACTAAACTCACACTGCTTCAGTAGACTAAACTCACACTGCTTCAGTAGACTAAACTCACACTGCTTCAGTAGACTAAACTCACACTGCTCAGTAAACTAAACTCACACTGCTAGACTTAACTCTCACTACTTCAGTAGACTAAACTCACACTACTTCAGTAGACTAAACTCACACTGCTAGACTAAACTCACACTCCTACAGTAGACTAAACTCACACTGCTTCAGTAGACTAAACTCACACTGCTTCAGTAGACTAAACTCACACTGCTAGACTAAACTCACACTGCTTCAGTAGACTAAACTCACACTGCTTCAGTAGACTAAACTCCCACTGCTGGACTAAACTCACACTGCTAGACTAAACTCACACTGCTGTTAGACTAAACTCACACTGCTAGACTAAACTCACACTGTTAGACTAAACTCACACTATTAGACTAAGCTCATACTGCTAGACTAAACTCACACTACTAGACTAAACTCACACTGCTAGACTAAACTCACACTGCTAGACTAAATTCACACTGTATGAGTAAATTCACACTGTTAGACTAAACTCACACTGTTTGAACAAACTCACACTGCTAGACTAAACTCACACTGTTAGACTAAACTCACACTGTTAGACTAAACTCACACTGCTAGACCAAACTCACACTGCTAGACTAAACTTACAGTGCTAGACTAAACTCACACTGCTAGCCAAACTTACACTGCTAGACTAAACTCACACTGCTAGACTAAACTCACACTGCTAGACTAATCTGACACTGCTGGACCAAACTCTCACTGCTAGACTTCTTTGCCAGCTCCCCAAAGAACAACTACACATACTGTCCTGCGGTCTGGTGGCAGCGACCCTAAGTTAAGAAGTAAACCCTAGTATTAAGTGACCAATTAAAGGGCAGTATAACTGTATACACTTGGCCATGATGTTCCCCAAACATAAATATCTTACAGAATGAGATATAAGTATTTAAACTATTGCTGAATACTTTATTACAACCCCAATATTGTAGAACATGTGTTCAACAGGACATGATAGTGAGAGGTATTCAAACACTCTTCTCAGGTGTGTCTCAGGCCAACAGGACATGATAGTGAGAGGTATTCAAACACTCTTCTCAGGTGTGTCTGAGGCCAACAGGACATGATAGTGAGAGGTACTCAAACCCTTCTCAGGTGTGTCTCAGGCCAACAGGACATGATAGTGAGAAGTACTCAAACACTCTTCTCTTGTGTGTCTCAGGCCAACAGGACATGATAGTGAAAGGTACTCAAACACCCTTCTCAGGTGTGTCTCAGGCCAACAGGACATGATAGTGAGAGGTACTCAAAACACCCTTCTCAGCTGTGTCTCAGGCCAACAGGACATGATAGTGAGAGGTACTCAAATACCCTTTTCAGGTGTGTCTAGGCCAACAGGACATGAGATGAGGAGAGGCACTCAAACCCTTCTCAGGTGTGTCTCTAGGCCAACAGGACATGA